GGAAGTGCTTCAACACCCCCCCTACAGCCCAGATCTCTCTCCATGTGATTTTCACATTTTTGGAGACCTGAAGAGAAACATTTGTGGACATCGGTTTGCATTGGACGAAGACGTGTGTGGCTGGGTAAAGACGTGGTTCCGTAGACAGCCCACAAGCTTTTTCAAGGATGGAACTGACCATCTTATCTCCCAGTGGGATAAATGTAGTAGCAGTTTTGGAGATTACTTTTGAAGCAAAAAATGTTCTTTTATATATTTTGGTTTCTGACCTGTTTTCAGTTGACTGCCCCTCATATTTTAATTTTCACATTTTTGGACAGCAGACAAGAGGACAAAATTTTCTGAACCTATTGGTAGCAAGCATTACCTCTCTTTAATCTGCTATTTATTTCCTCACAAATCAAATTTTGATTTGTTGCTGCTCTTCCAAAATATCTCAACTTTACCACACTTTCAAAGTTTCTGTTAGCTGTCCTTATGTTGTGATATTGCTCTTCATTCTGTTGATGACTCATTAACATATACTTAGTTCCCTCTGTGTTTACTTTTAGACCAGCCTCCTTATTAGAATAAATTAGAGCCACTGTGCTTTTATCATATTTATATTATCTCCCAGAAGACTTACATTATCAGAATAGATCAGAAGCTGATGTGTCAGATTCCATTTCAGACTCACCTGGTTTTCTTGGACTTCTAGTCACATAAACTAAAGCAAAGTTTAAAAGGAATGGTGATAAAGCATCTTCTTGCTTTAGACCATTTTGAATAGAAGACATATAATGCAGTTGTTTATCTATATGGACTTTACTTCAGCTCTCATTTAAACACATTTTAATAAGCCTAACATCATGGGTACCCATCTAACTGAAACACAGGCTTTCTTAAAGTCTATGAATAGCCGATGTACTGTCTCAGTGCACTCCCATTTTTTCTCCTGTATATATCTGATGAATGCAAAAAGTCTGTTCAGTAGTTGATCTGTCACGTTAAAACCCACACTAATGATCCCCAATAATTTTGATTTGTTTCATTCTGGTCCGTCACACTAACAATTACAAATACAAATCACTTCGTCCAATGTGACATATAAGTTTTACTATGTGAAAAACCAATCAACTCTTACATGTTTCGGTCCTTATGGACCATCTTCGGAGGGAACATCATTACAAGCTGGAAACTACTATCACAATAGGTGTTTTGATTTAATTACATACACACGTCCTGTAATGCACAGTATGCATAAATTCGAACGTTTCACAATCACAGCTGCTTCCTGGTATTGTAAAGTTTTTTAAAAAAGTTTTCTAGATGTTGTTTAAAAACTTATTGTCAATAGCTAATTTTTTTTTATAAACCATGTAGGTTCATGTCCGTACTAACTTCCTTCTTGTATGGGGCAGATTTTGTGCCTCTGTCTATCTTGATAAGGAGGCTCTTAATGTCGTCAAGGGTTTGTTCGTGGCTAGCTGTGGTAACAACACAGCTAGCCACGAAAGTCAACCAACATTTCAGAAGAAGATTTCATCTCCATTTTCAGGGTCAAAGAGCGAATCAAAAAAGAAACCAGTAGTACTGCATATGAAACAAGCAAATGGACAGATACAACTTCCTCTTATACATTCTTTATGCACTTTGTGCAAATAATGTGAAAAATTAAATGGTCTGATACATTGCTTATCTTTGCCACTGACTCTGTCACCAATCCCAATACCAAGTGACATCTACCAAACAGAGGCAGAATAAACTATTCCATGCTTACTTGAGTGTATAGGCCAAAAGGTCTGCTGCACGCCCTGATCCATCACACACCACTACTGGGACAGGAGGAATGTCCATCACATACCCTAATATTACTCTAATGGTGTCAGGGCCGCCACCTATCATGAGACATACCATTGGAGTATTATTGTTACCACCTGCAAAAAAAAAAAACTACATTTATTGATTCTGCATAAGATATTAGAAAAAATACCTGTTAAAAAGTTATATCTGAGTCAACCCCACAACATTTCTACTCTGTGCAAGGTCAGCCTTACCATGGGTGCAACATGTGCATTCGCATAGTTGACAAAAAAAATCACTTATTGAGTTTTTTTGAAAAATTATCATATCAAAGTTTGAAAATGAAAGCATGTTTTTACTGTGATTTTATCCTTTCCTCCCACTGATGGAACCGGTTGTCGGTTGTTCATAGGTTGTTTTTCTACAGACAGGGGTTTGTCCAGTGATTGAGCCTAGCTCTTTCTAAGGGGACCAACTGAGTAGGTTTATCCTTCCCTATCCACCTGAAGATGGAGACAGATCCAGTCTCTGAAACGTCGTGGTTTTTTGTCTTTCACATACCAGACGACGGGTGAAGTCCAAAATAAACCAAAAGAAGTAGTGTATACACCATCATCAGAATCCTTTCAAGTCTATCTGTCAGGACCTGTTGCACCAGTTTGAGGCTGAAGTTGACAAGTTTCTGGACAGCATCATCACCGGAGATGAGACGTGGTGTCACCACTGCGAGCCGGAATCCAAAAGACAGTCCATGGAGTGGTGACATCCGGATTCCCCAAGACCCAAGAAAAGAAGTTCAAGACACAGCCATTGGCAGGGAAAGTGATGTGCACGGCCTTTTGGGATAGGCGGGGTGTGATTTTGTTGTATTTCCTGGAGCCTGGTGAGACTGTCAATTCTGAACGCTACAAGACGACACTGACTAAGCTGAAAGCCTGCATTTCCCAAGTAAGGCCAGAGAAGCAGACCTTTTGCTTACAACATGACAACACTAGACCCCGTACCAGTTTGGCGACCACCGCGCACATTGCAAAGTTTGCCTGGACATTCATACTACTTCCATCTAATAGCCCCGATTTAGCACCTTCAGACTTCCATCTCTTTGGGCCTATGAAAGATGGACTACGTGGGCAACATTTTCCAGACAACAATGCTGTCATTGCTGCTGTAAGAAAGTGGCTAGCCTCTGCTGGGACAAACTTTTACAGGCGCAGCATACAGGCTCTTGTTCATTGCTGGCAAAAGTACATAACGAATGGTGGTGATTATGTGGAACAATAACTAAGTAGCTGAAATCTTGCTCTATTTAACTGCGTTATTATGCTTTCTGTATTTGTTGTAGTTTTCATTAAAAAAATTAGGAGACATTATATAGGGAACGCTCCTTGTATATCTAGAAAGCTTTAAGCCATCTTAGAGAACTGAATAGCAATGGCTGAAGTGTGTATATGCTGGAGGGCACAACTGGTATTCGGAAAGGGTGGCATAATATGCTGAACTGGTTCTGACTTTCTGATACATCAGACCATCTGGTTATGATAATAAGGATGACTTAATGCAAGAAAAATTTAACCCTGACTTCCAATTGGAAGATTCCTGAGGAATATTATATTACTAGGAGCTTTTAATGTGATTTAGCTTTTGGGATCATATCTGTGCAAAGCCATTAATTTACAACTCTGACTTGTTGAAATTTACACCTGTCACACCTGTTAAGAAACTGTCACCATGAAGAGAAATCTTTACCTAAATGCAATTTCTGAGTAGATATGTATTTCTCTAGCTCTCTTCTCAAGATGAGCTCGGCTCCATACCTTCCTGAAGTTCCATTGTCAGCCAGTAAGAAATAGGCATGATGATTATTCAGAACTGCATAGTTAGACCTAAAATAAATACAGTGGTAAATAAATGTATGGGGGAAATCTGTTCCTTAAAATACAATTGTGGTAGCAATGTACAATAGTGGGGAAGGGTGGTAGTCTTCTTATACATCATAAATGATACAAAATCCGTCCCAAGTGCAAACAATATATATTATATGTCCTTGATCTTGTTCTCCTCTACACTACATGTTTCGGCCTCAAACGGCCATTATCAGGTGTATACTCTCATGTTACTGCCACACTGAACCCAGTCTAAAATTTAACATTTAAAAAACACATTGTTATTTCTTCGTTATTATCAACATCTACCTCGTTAATATCTGTCTGGTATGTAGATTATTTTGCACACGTCAATTTTGGTTTTTCTGTACTAGCACTATAAAATCTTTAGTTATAATTTTAAAATCCTTTAAAAATTTCTCTAAATTTTAAATTTAAAATTTAAAATTGTTAGGGTTACTCGCCCTATGTCTAAGTGCTGCAGCGGCTAGTTCTTGTTTCCACACTGTACAGGTGTTATCCTGTATAGTCTTCCTGTGTGTGTGGTGCTGCTTGTCTTTACTACATGAGTACACGTAGTAAAGACAAGCAGCGGCAACCCTAACAATTTTAAATTTTAAATTTTAAATTTAGAGAAATTTTTAAAGGATTTTAAAATTATAACTAAAGATTTTATAGTGCTAGTACAGAAAAACCAAAATTGACGTGTGCAAAATAATCTACATACCAGACAGATATCAACGAGGTAGATGTTGATAATAACGAAGAAATAACAATGTGTTTTTTAAATGTTAAATTTTAGACTGGGTTCAGTGTGGCAGTAACATGAGAGTATACACCTGATGATGGCCGTTAGAGGCCGAAACATGTAGTGTAGAGGAGAACAAGATCAAGGACATATAATATATATTGTTTGCACTTGGGACGGATTTTGTATCATTTATCATGTAGAGTGCAACAGGATGCTTAAATATAATATTCTTATACATCCTCCACACTATGGGAAAGATTCATATACTGTATGTAAACTGCTGGTTAAATGGTTCTGATTGTGTTACTGTAGTACACTGGTGCCTAAATTGTACTAATGCTATTATAAAAAAGTGTCTTGCAAAACTATAAAGTTTTATCGATTCATGATGATGTTATTTTCTCAGAGACTGAAGTGATGAGACAGTGTTTAATAAAAATTTTCTCACCAACTGGAGGTAAATTTTTAGGTTGATCCAAAGATTGTACTACTTCAGTCAGCAACAGTCATTAGTTTCTCTTGCTAATACATTAAGGAAGTACATATTTTCTATGTATTTACTGAAAGTTTGGGTTACTTCCACTCCCATCTTTGATGTTAGAATTACAACTATTTTACTGAAGAGCTAGTTTCCCAAATTGTTCCAGTACAAAACATGCAGCTTGAATAATTGAGGCTTGGTCTATTTATTTGTTTTCAGGATTGAAAAAAACATGAAAGGCTCTGAATTTATACCGTGCATAATTGTTTGATTTACAGGATTCAGTAAGATAATGGTTAATTATGGAATGCAGTAGTTTGAAGCCTTTTAGATACTTCATACAATGAAATTCCAATTTTGTGTTCTTGGATTCAATGTTTTCACTACTTTAAGAAGCAGTTCCACCAGTCTTGACCTAAGTATCATAAGGCCAGTGCTAAGTTTTAACCAATTTTGCATTTCCTCAAATTTACTTCCCTTCCCCCCCACCAAAAAAAAAATCGCACTTCATTTTCCTAACAAACATTTACAAAAGTTTACATTTACAGTGTTCTAATTTGTGAACTTCAAGGAAATATTTGCACTGTACACTCATATGTAAAGTTTATCTTTGTAAAATAGATATATCTTTACATATGAAAACCTCTGAACATCATATGAATGAGCTGACACATGTCCCTGCTTGTTATTATGTCTGGGTAGGTGCAGCCATTTATTCTACCATGAAATTTGTTGCTGCTGCCATCTACACAAAACTAAGCAACATATATAAACACAGCGAGCCACTTAATTAATTTCATGGTCTGAAATATTAAAACAAAGCAAAATCTAAAGAATTTATGATAACCAATAAAATTTTTAACAGAGTATTATTGATGCACATATTGGAACACATGTATACATGTACAGTATGTGTAAACTGTTATTCTGTTCAAACATGCACATTTTAATTGTTTTCCAAATTTATGATCTAATGTAAACCTATTTTTCTATGTTACAACATTTTCATTTTATGTTGATTTTATATGGTCCCTTCAAAAGTATAACATCAGAGTTGTATTAACAACATGTAGGAGATTGCTTTATTGGTCAAGGAAAGATAGGAGAACTGGTTTCAGAATAGTGAAAGCATCAAGGTGAATGCCTATAAAGTGAAAGAAATTTCAGCATTGTCTGTACCAATGCTTCAGTGTCACTCCATCTACCACAAGTTCCACAGATACTACTCTGGGGCTTCAACATGGATATCCATGGTGGGAAATTGGAAATTAACTGAGCTACAGTAGAACTTTCTAAGCTCTTAACATTCATAGTAAGAAAAAGATTTCTGCCTGTTTTTCCCTGAAGGGAGCTTGCATCTTTCAGACCTCTTTCAAGTGTTTGGAAGAGTATGAGAGCCATAAGTAGTACACCTTCGGTCAGTACCTGAGTGAAGGCACTGAATGATATGGAACTTCACGGTCAAGTCCACAAAGTTGCTGGTTGTTCTCAATTATTCCCCAAGGAGCTATGCCAATGCTGNCTGGAGAGTGTAATTCAGGGAGACTTGTATAGCTCCCGCATTATTAGTACGTGAAGACTCTCGAAGAGAGTGTTAAGAGATTTTGTTCTAGGGTTTGTAAAGTGTGGAAACCCGTAACATTGTTATCATTAATTGTAGCCGTTATTTGAAGATTGTTAAATAAACCAATTAACCATCTCTACGGCGTCTTCAGTAACGAAACACGTTACAATATGTTAAAATATTATCAAAAAGAGTCAATAAAATGGCTAAAAGTGTTTTATCAGAAGAGCAAATTTGCTTTAGGAAAGACTACTCTTTCACAGACTTTGTTTTTACAATAACCTAACTAACAGACAAAAAGGAAAGAATTTAACCTTCTTATATATATTACTCTTCATAGACTATATAAAAGCTTTTGATACAGTAAATATAAATTAAATATGGCAGACACATGCTCTGAAAGAATTTCCACATCTCATATGAGCAATCCAGCGTCCCTATATTGAAGCAAATATTGTGATTAAGAATGAAAGCAGAAGCCAGAAATGAATTTTAACCTTTAAACGGCGGACTTCTGAAATGGTGGTAAGCTTCAGCTGGCCGGAGTGTATTTAAATGGTGCGCGTTTCAATGCCCGTTGCTACTCTGCATTTTAATGTCCATTCCTGTTAGGGCGCTTAAACAATTTTAAGCATTGTGTTTAAAAATGCTGTATCTAACACAATTTTTATGATAAATGGATCGAATTAACTTTGTTTTTATCAGCAAAGAACATAGTGTCACAAATTATAACACAAGATCGGCAAATTTTTATACAAAGAGTTATACTTTATTTTCAATTTTTTCTTTTAATTTTGATGCGTTCTGTAAAAATGGTTTCCCAGTTCTTCACAGAGCTGTTCTGCATTATAAAATCAGTCCTGCTTGTAACACTTGACATGCTTTAGCAGTTCCTGGTGTCATAAAACAGACGGAAGCAATAAAATCATTTGGTCTTCTTTGTTACACTCTTCAGATTATCGAATCTTTTGATTAAAGGACAGAAGAATGAAAGCATGGCTATTCAAAAAGAAGCTAGATGGGTCCCTTCTTCTGTCCTAAGACCTTCGGTTGTAGCTGCAAGAGATTATTGCCTTTTCTATGGTCGTGAACAGACAGTTGCATCGTGGTGGAGATACAGAGTGAAATCTGTTTTCTCTGCATTCGTAGTGAAATCGAATACTGTAGTTTCTTTTCAGCCTATATACATATCAGCAGATAACAACAAAAAAGTTAACCTGCAGTATCTGCATTAAAAGTACTGGCTCATGGATGAGCTAGGGCATAACTCATACGTATAATTTATTTTGTTGTTCACTTAGGTACCATTTTAATTCCTCTATTAGGGTTTTACTCAAGTCTATCTTGTAATTATTATATTTAAAAATAAATATTTAGGATTGTGCATGCACTTCTACTAGAGGCGTGTGCGCATGCTTCCAGCAGCAGAGTTTAAATGCCAAATGAGGCTAGTTTGGCCACGACGACCATACTCATCACTGGCCCAATCAGGGCACTTCAGACGTTAAAGGTTTTTCTTTTTATTGCTAGTGGGGTGGACTAAGTCCCTTGTACTGCAGCCATTTCTGGCCTATTGTACCAGCCCCAGATGATAGGTGAGGGTGATTGTGGAACAATTCGTGGAATGAAGATCGGAAGGGCAATCCAAAGTACTTGGAGAAAACCTGCCCCAGCACCACTTTGTCCACCACAAATCCCACTTGACCAGACCTGGGATCGAATCCGGGCCGCCGCGGTGGGAAGCCAGCGACTAACTGCTTCAGCTATGGTGGAGCCCTATGTTAAAGGTTAACAGACCAAGAAGTGCAACAAGAATGTCCATTGCCACAAGTGCTTTTTAACCTATACTTTTTTAATTGCTAGTGGGGTGGGACTATGTCCCTTGTACTGAGGCCACTTATGTCCTATTGTAGCAGCCCCAGATGATAGGTGAGGTTGATTGTGGAGCAATTGGTGGAATGAAGATTGGCAGGGGAAACCGAAGTACTCTGAGAAAGCCTGCCGCAGCACCACTTTGTCCACCACAAATCCCACTTTACCAGACCCGGGATCGAACCCAGGCCGCCACGGTGGGAAGCCAGTGACTAACCGCTTGAGCTATGGCGTGGCCTAATCGCTACTTAGAACATATCATAATAGAATGGGAAGATAGTAACCTGTAACAGTTGATGATAAAGTGGTTATAACTGCATCAGAACACTGTTCAAGCACTGTTGCACACACTATGTAAAACTGCCCTAATGTACATTTTGACTATTTCTACATTTAAAATTAAACTAGTCTGAGAAAACAACAGCAGTGTCATTCAATACTAGGCAAGAAAGATTTCTACTGAAACTTCAAATCAAATTTGGCAGTACGGACATTGCTTCTAAATCAGAAACAAAATTCTTAGGCATATTCATTAGTGAATACATGAAATGGGATGCACATGTGAGGTCATTAAGCTCCAAACTCAGTAAATTTGTTTATATGATTGAATCTCAAGGATGTAATGGGCCCAAATTTTATAAGGAGTATTTATTTTGCATCTTTTCATGCTCATTTGAGGTATGGTTTGATTTTCTGGTGTGGTGACTCAAACAGTAAAATTATTTTCAAATTACAGAGACAGGTTATGCAAATAATCAATGATGTGTGGAGATGTATGTCATGTAGGCAACCTTCTCTGGATTTAAATATACTTCCAGTACCTTGCCTATACAGTATATATTTGGAATAATATGCCATATATAACTACATATAAAGAAACTGGAATAAAACGCTGCAATTCGTAATCATAATACTTGTCAAAGTTTAAAGGACCATGTTCAGTTTTGTAGAAGAACTGCCCTCAAGAAAGGCGTAATGAATGTGGGAATCAAATTACACAATAAATTGGCAAATAAAATTGGGATGTGGGAAAAATGAGGCAATTTAAAAAATAACTAAAGTCCCACCGGTTACAACATACATTTTACTCTGTAGATGAATATGTCATGTTAAATTATCAGATTATGATATTCTAGTTCGTTTGTTGTTATTAATTATATCTGTACTGCAGGGTAGCATGAAGTATCTTAGCTGACATATTTATGTTTAATATTATTATTATTATTATTGGAGGGTATGGGTTTCCCCATGCACCGCGACTAATAGTCTATTGTACATCCCCCATTCGATATTCTACCAGTCGCCATACCCTTCCGATACTGGTGCTCACTATCAGCCCCGTTCAGCCAGCAAGGCTGGCAGTGGTACCCGATACTTCCCCATCTACCAGAGGCATTGGAAACTACTTGGGTGAGAAACTTTTGCCTAATTTTGCTCAGAGGTCTCCTAGAGACATGAGGATCTTTTACGTGCTGCAAATCTATGACACAGGACCCACGGTTTAAAGTCCCTCCCGGAGGACTTGTTCCCTGAATTTTTCCGCCCTTAAAAATTCCATGACCTCCGCCGAGTTTGAACCCGCATACCTTGAGTCATGAGGTGGGAACATTACCCCTAGACTACGGAGGCCGCTACATATTTATGTTACTTTTACAAGTGTATGTGTGTAAAAAACATATATCCTATGTCAATAGTTTGACTGAAAGAGATGAATTAAATTAAATATCTTGGATGTAAATTTGGAAGCAACAGAAGTATGATCTACAAAAGTGTAATTGTCTATGTGGAACAATTAAACACACACTGCTCAAAACTCAATGGAAGATAATCCTAAATTTCCATGAACTTCAAGCAGTGTCATCTCCTTTATATGGCAGTGAATGCTGGGCTTCAACCCTTTCGCTGTGTATTTTTTGTCACAATTTTCCCAAAATAATGCAATTTTATGATAAAAGTATTTTACAGATGCATTCATTCTGTAATCTGTCAAGACGACAGGTCCACAGTCTCTTCCAAAACAGTTCCTCCACTTGATGCGATCTAGAGCTTTCTCCTTTCAAATGAGAATATCCTCTTCTGTCCCCAAGGTCATCCAGCATCTTCTTACGTCTTCTGGTCACTTCGATCCGCCCCTCTATTTTTCCTTCAATAACTTCTTTTAGAAGGCAGTTTCTGCGTAAAACATGACCAATCCAATTAGCCTTCCGTTTTCTTATTTCGTGTAGGATATTCCTCTGCTCACTGACTCTAATTAACACTTCTTCATTTCTCACATAATCGGTCCAACTGATCTTCTCCA